TGAAAAAAGGCATATCAGTATGTAATAAAGATGTACTAATATCAAAATTAATGATAAAAGCTTTATTAAAGCAATAACATATTTAATATAGGATTACCTCTATATATAAAAATAATATATGAAACTAATTTACATTAAATCCACCATGGAACCCAAGAATTACAGCACTATTCGAAGCATTCTAAAGAAAGCTCAAGGAGAGAAAATTGCTTCATATATTTTTAAAATGAATGATACCTAAATTCTCCAGAATTATTTAGATAAAGAAAAAATTACTTATGAAATTTACTAAGAGGAAAGGAAAATCATAACAAATAAACGAACATTAATACCAGCACATAGTGAACCAAGAAAGAAACGGAAGCTGAAAATATAAAGCAAATATCTGTTTCTTTATAATTGCTAATAATTCCACGATTTTTTATAGGCTGTTCAGTAAGAATGACAATAAATTTGCTTCAAGTTCTACAACTCTGACACAATTTATGGGTAGCAACCTTTTATCATATTAGAAATAATGATAGATATGAAAAGTAATAAAAGCGGATAATCATTAGAAGGGCAGCCAAACCAAACTTTAGGAGATGGACTTGTTTGATCAGCAAATCAAAATAAGCAATCATAATTATGTTTAACTAGAGGTAAGGGTGTAGCCTGCCGAATAGTTTTGTGTTATGTAGAACAATCAGTTACAAATGTTGTTTTTTTTATAACAGTTCAGTTATCTTAAAATATTTTTATTCGTAATTTACAGTTTTATTTATTGCAAACGTTACAGAATTACGTGTATTCAACAAACCTGTTTATTTATTGATTATAAATATTAATATTTTAGCAAATATTTATTGTAATTATTTATTATTATATAGATTAAATATGTACACGATATTTGTTAACGCATAATCTAGTGTCTTGAATATGCACGTCATTTGGTATGGGTAATGATTTAATGTTTACGTATATTTATACTTACACTTAATATTATAATTTAAGTTATAGAAAGAATAGCCCTGCAGTAGATACTTTTCAAAATTTGGCGATTACGTCACAATTTTTTAAATCGACGCACAATATTAAATATATATTAAAAAAAATATAATGAATTCGCAATTTGATGAAACCAAGAATTTATTATAAAACGGCATAACCTGATTCAATTTTGCTTTAAAGAAACTGCAAATCTTTCCAACGTCAATACTGAAACAAGTCATTTTATAAAAAAGCAAATAACTGATAATCAAAATGTTTCTTTCCACTATTGAATTCTTTTGTGAACTATTGATCGACCTTGTCTTTGGTCCTTTGCTTTACTATAAAACGTATATTCAACTCGGTAATATAAATCAAAAGCTTGAAATAATAATTCAAGCAGTCAAATTAAACAAAATCAAAATCAAATCTAAATTCAGTAAGCTGCCCAGCGAACGAAAATACGCAGAAGACGTTGAAAATCTATGGAAAGATTTAAAAAATTCTTTGATACGAAATCTGAGCTAGAACTGGACTTTTCATTTACCAAAGTGGCTACTCAAATCCGCGAGTTATGCAAGGAGAAAGGCATTGCCAATTCTATACTGAATAACTTTTACCAACGAAACTAATCCGCAGAAAATAACTGTTGAAGCAGTACAGGAATGGGTTGATAAAGACAAGAGGAAAAAAAATGATGGTGTTAATAATAATGATAATGATAATATGTAGCATAGATTTCACTAGCATGACTAAAGTATAGGAATACTCATCAATGGCTTTGGGTCTGAGTATTTTCTCCTATGCAATCGCTCTAGTGAATATTGCAAAAGTATTTTGTTAAAACATTAATAAAAGAGAATCGATTGTTATAACTATTTTTTGCAATTCAAATTCAGTTATCCATTATCATATGACTCATTACAATATGCACGTAAAAAACAATTGCTTCACTTCTGAAAGCAGAATTGCATTATGTAGTAGCAGAATACAATATAATAATTGAAAACATTGTTCCATAACATGACGTGATATGCAAAAAAGCGTATAAAGGGATTTTTCCCTTTGTCTTCATTCTCCTAAGTTTCTGACAAAGGCATGGAAGGGTTCTAATACCAAGACTTCTATATTAAGTACTATCAGGACAACTCAGGCGCGATGACAAACTGTTATGAGGAATACCTCAGGACAAAGCAAAATAAGCAACATACATTTATTGGAAGGATAGAGGAGCAACAGGGAGAAGAGTTTGAATACTGTTACTGGTTTTGTGCTATATTGCAAAAGAGAGAGAGAGGCAGTTGAGCATTATTAGTTAGATAGAACTGGGTCATAGAGACATTACGTGATTTATAGAGCGGTAATAGAGGAGAGAATAGTTGGAACACACATATTAGGAGAAGTGTAGAATAGAGCTTAGTAAATGGTAGAGGAGCTAGGTTATATGGAGAGAATAGTTTGAATGCATTATGACATGTGTTGGGGTTGAAACATAGAGCAGAGTCATAGCAAAAGTTAGATTATACATAAACTCGTTGCAAAGGCAAACTGGAGGAGACAAAAGATGCTGTTGTCACATGCAAACTGTCTGAGCTGACTAAATACTCTATCTCATCAACATTATACATATATATTGATTAATTTATGCTCTTTATCGTTTCCTTTTTGTCACTGTCATTATTCTACTTAATTCTTGTAGCTGAGTCTTCTTTTGGTAAGTTTTTCTCTATCATACAATCTATCTTTCAAATTGATAGTGATTATATTAACTAGCTTACAATTGCCTAACACAACTCTATCTTTCATTTGTTAACCACACTAACCTCCTGATACCCTCTTTTTTGTATTTATTACGATTGTTTCATTTATTATTTTATTCAAGAAGCTGATTTATCAAAAAACAAACCGCAAATAAGAGTTGATGAATTCGAAGCATTAGAGAAGAGCTTTTATGCACAACCGAAGGATCCTTATAACTCATTCCGCCAATTAGCAGAATTTACAGAAGCGATGGGTAGGAAATGACAACCTGTCAACTTTATGTGTTCAGTCAGCGCTATCGTTCAATCAAGTAGTGTCGGAAAATCATGAAGTATCAAAGAACTTGCTAACAATAAGTTTGTTATTCACCTTTGCTTGCGTAGAAAGAGTAATGGTTTTCTCTTACGTTCTTTCAAAATTGCTGACTTGATACTGAAGGAGCCAGAGACAGATTACCCTCGCTATAAAGCTCTTTCACATTTTATTACTTATATATGTGCTTATTACGAAGAATTGGTAAGATTTCTTAACAACGTGAAAGGTGAAGAAATGGAAAGCATTTTTCACAAATGGTATCATCAGCAGATTATCACAGATGAGACAGATGATAGATGGCTTGGTGGTAAAATCTTTTAGGGGCAGATCTCCAATAGGATGTTAACTATACAGAAGGAATTTTTAGCACCGATAGGAAGTAGTTTTGATTCAGCATTTGCTAAGAGCCTCAGACAAAAATTAATGGTGTTATCAAAAAATTGGAAGAACAGCTTGAAATGTTTCATTACTTACGAGAAGGTGATGTCTTCATCATATTCGCAATTGATGAAGCACAATCGTTAACAGTTCCAAATGAAAGGCTTGGTAGCAATTCTCTGTATCACTATTTTCGTATTGCATCTGCCACAATACCTGGATATGATCTAAATATGAAAGTCAATACATTTGTTCTTTTGCTGAACACTGTCTTAAAAATAGCTAATTTTCTGCTACCTTCAGTATTTGATCCATCTTTTCGCTATGTTACCAAATCTACCAATTTGTACCTACCCTATTGGACTATTGATCTATGGGATGTGCTTTCAACTTTTCCCAATGCTCATTTAATAATTAATGTTCACCAGAGAAAGGTCGATGTGAATTCGTTCTTACACACATTCTTCCGCCAAGGACGCGTTCTTTAGGAACGCACTTTAGACCTTTTGAATGATGAAGCACAATGTACAGCCGTATTTAAAGCAGTAACAAGTGCAAAATGCAAACTCATGGGTGGTGTCAACTTCAAAGACAACATTTAACATAATCCAAGAGAAATAATCATTAGACAAAATATGGTTGCATTATAGTATGTAAGAGCAAGTCTTTTGGTTAAGCCACAAGGTGAACTGGTTAGTAATCTGATTGCAAATCGTTTGAGTGTCTGCCTGGGTGTATCACCTAACTGAAAAACTGTTTTTATTGGTTACTCCTCAGAACCACTTGTAGCTGAGGCAGCAGCGCGAATCATTAATCATCACAAGATCAAATTCAAGGAAACAATTGAACCACTTCTTGGTTTTATTCGAGAAAGGATAGTAGAACTAGGACTGAAGGGAGAGCTTACTGTTCACATCCTACTAACATTGGCTTGGGATCATGCAAATCATCAAGTGCAAAAACATTTGCCTGAATTCATCTACACATATCCTTTAATGGTTAGACAGTACTTGACTGCATTGATGTCAGATGTCAGTTATCTCAAAGGTCAAATTAATTCTGATAGTATAGAACTTCTGTTGAGCGGCATTGTATTTTTTACACATTTTATAGTTGTAGCACAGTCTATAACAAAGGAGGATTTACGTCACTTCTTTTGTCGTGATGCAGCATTTTAATGTCAATGTAGACAAAGTGCTATAGATCATGATATTCCAGTTCTGCTGCTGAATGGCAAGTTTACCTGCATTTTAATTCAAACGTGCAACTATAGTGAAAGTAATCCTAATATTATGTTTGCAAGTCTTGTAATTATTCCCCAAACTGCAGGGTTGGATATGAATCTGGATTGGCCATATCTCATTTTATATTTTACTTTAGGCTATAAAAATGGTATGATTAAGAATTTGAAGGTTGTGCATGATACTACTAGTGATAAGGCTAAGAAAATCAAACGACAAGAGATGCTATCGAAATCCCTTGCAAATGAGGATGCAGAAGTAGCAAAGAGCGACTAAACAAGCAAATTATTGTAGGCTTGTTTGGTATTACACCAGATGTATTTCCATTTTTTAATACAAGTGAGAAAGCAGAACTTCTTAAAAAACTATCCAAAGCATAGACTGATCTGATGTCATTTGCCAAAGAAGATAAGAAGGAAGTGATAAAATGCATGATGCCACTTGTGTGAAGAGACAAGTGCATGAAAAAAGATGAGTGTGAAGAAGATTTGTGATTTATCAATGCTATAAGTCAAAACCTGTTATATAATTCGTTACAAGACGCTCTCTTAATGAAGTTTAATTTTCATATTTAGTATCTTGTAAATCATGTTTTATTAAACGCAAATAAACAACATGAAAGAAAAAGAATAAACCAAACTAATTGGTCAAACATGAATCTATTCTAGATTGCTTTCACCTTTCTTTTTAATTAACTAAACATATTGAGCTTATTGTAGTATTACCTCATCGAAGGAAATTAAATGCTATTTCAAATGTTGTGAATAAATTTTCGTTATAAAGTAAGTAGCAGCCCCTATTCAGAAATCAGTATAACGAGACTTATTATAAAATTCGTGATAACAATAAAATTTAATGTAAAAAAAATGGAGAGGATGCTTACTGTACTTTGTTTGGTGTAGCAAATATTAGTTTGAGTATAATTATATCAGATCTCGAAAATGATTTTAAAGTCATATCTCAGTCGTAATCCCCCATGGTACCATAACACAACACGGGAAGCTAATACAATTTTTCCTTTGGTGAATCTATAACTAAAATAAGCGTATTTCTTATTGCTACGTGAATACATTATATTCTTGTTATTTTATAAACAAATTTAATGAACTTCTTGAATAATTGGGCATTGTCAGTAGTGTCTGAGATTTATGACATTAAAATGGTGCTCTTATAATACAGAATGGTAAAACCAATATATAGGATTACCTATATATGAAAAATTATAATTATAATGGTTCGTATGAATATGAAAAAACAATACGTTTCTTAGAGACAGGCTGTAATTGTGGATGTTCGAAAAGGATCTCAAAAGAAAGGTTTGCTGAATTACGTGAGGTATTTCAAGCTCTTTCTAGATCTGAACAAGATATATTTTTAATGGTTCAGTTGAAAGCAATGAATAGTGGAGAAATAACTGCCAGCCGACGTCTTAAAAAGAAAACGTATACTAATAAGCGAACATTTTACTACTGTGATCGCAATACACCATTTTATCAGAAAATGTATCTTAATATATTAGAAATTGGTCGCACTCATTTGGAAAACGTCAGAAATCACCTAGCAATAAATGGTATAATACCACGTGTTTATGGTAACATAAAACGAATGCCACAATGGAAAATCAAAATAACCATTGATATAACTGTTGCTACCGCTGTAAAGAATTTTCTCAAAAATTATGCTGAAATACACAGATTACCAAGTCCTGGTAGAAATGTCAATTGCATTACTCAATCGCTTACACTTTTACCAGCTGAAATGAGTTACAAGTCAGTCTATTATGATTTTATTGCAGGTCTTGAAAATGATAGCGCATTGAAACTGTTAAAATATGATGCATTTCGCAAGTTATGACATCAATTAATGTCTTATATTCAAATCATGAGTCCACAAACAGATTTATGCGATACATGCTAATATTATTAGAATGGTTTACAGTATAATGCTCGTAAAGAAAAAGAAGCAAGAGACTTACTAAAAAAATTCAAAGAACATCTAGTTAAAGCTAAATTAAAGAGAAACTATTATAACAAAAATACGAAATTAGCAGAACAGCAGAGAAAATTGGTAGATGAGCATTTTATAACAAGAGGTAAAGCTGATTATTGTAGCGTTAATGCTACTGCTCATTACAGTTACGATTGAGCACAAAATGTTCACATTCCCCATTCTGATCAACAAGTAAGTAAAATTTATTATCTTAGTCTGCGTAATGTGCATTTATTTGGTATTCAAGATGAAGCAGTATGCGAACAAATTAATTACGTTCTCGATGAAGATGAAATTATCAGCAAAGACCAGTGTATAAAATTTGAACCAAAAGTTATGTGCACAAGTTGTACTAAAAATAGAAAATTAATGCATGTATTACAT